TATATCGAATCAAAATATATCGGCAAAAAATATCGATATATCGAACAAAAAATATCGATATATCGATACATCGATATATTTTCAACAAGCCTAACATTACTCGAACTCTATCGCGACCCGCGGTGCTCTGGCACATTCGATCTCTAGCACTTTCGCGGTTCCGTTTCGAGAGCGTTTGTGACAATATAGTCATAGGGTACTTTAAACAGGTTTAGTGTTTCTAAACAGGGAAAAAGAATAGCATTATTGTTACTTATTATTATTGCTACAATACGACCACATACAGATATAATACACATATAAGACACATCAATAGTTAATTTTATGATTAGATTATAAAAAACTGGACTAGTGCGCGTCTGGCCTTGCTCTATTAGGGTTTCGTAAAATAATTTGCCTGTTTTCGTCGCTTGAATCACCGTTTACAGTATTTTTTGTTTAAATACAGCAACTGGGACATCATATACCAAAATTTCTCATTCTTAATTAGTTTCGATAATATCGAAATTACTATTTTAAAATCAAAACTGATTCAGAATGTGAAATTTCCGCGTAAAAATGGTCTAAAACTATGAACCATTTCTGTTATTCAAAATAAAAAATTATTAAGATTATATTTGTTTCTTATCGGTTCTAGGTTTTCACGCACACTGAATTATATCCACATCCTTTTCAGGATGTGGGTAAAATTCAGACGACGAATCATGAAAAGGATGCGAAACGTCAATAAATCAGTGCATCTATACTATTGAAACTTATTGACGTGACAACGTCTTAAATTAGGTTGCGGCTGGGAGTCACTTATGAAAAAGTGTAACGCTCGGTAACGTTACGATGAGTCTCTCGTGTTAAGTTTAAGTTTACATGTACAATGTTTTAGTAAACAAAATATATTTCTATAGTTAAAATTTGTGCAATTCTTATTTTCATTCAATTCCTTGTTCCTATTGTGCAATTTAATTATATTCATATCAATAAATATTCTACCGAGAAAAAGACGTTGTCACGTAAAATCTTCGCCCGTAAAACCGACTTTACAGGCAACCATTTTTTTATTTTAATTAAGATTGTATATATGTTATACTCAATGAATTCTAGACTATAAAGTGTCAAAGAAGTTTTTTTTTTGCATGTACAGTTCTCTCCGTGAAAAATGTTATATTTGTATTTTTAACAAAATATTCGGCTTTGAGCAAGCATTCAGATCTGAGACCAGTGACATACGGACAGACAGACAGACAGACGACAGAGTTACAGCAATAGGGTTCCATTTCTACGTTTAGGCACGAAACTCAAAAATTATGTTCTACTCCATAAAAATATTTGTGTTTAAATAAGCCATTTTTGTCTCGGTAAAGAGACAAGTAGTAAGGGTAAGTATGTTGGTCCCTACAACCGATTTTCATAAAGGCTATCCGGTGATATTGTCGGGGTTGGACAGTACAAACATTTGTAAGCGTCTGTACTGATTTCCCATTGGGCTCAATGTTTCGTTAGAAAAATATTTGCTCATAAACCCATGTACCTACTATTTTATTTCATTTTAGGTTACATTGTTGCCAAGGTAAGCAATTTTTTTAAATATAAAGGCAGGTATACAAATTTATTTTGCACTGATAAAAATTTACTGCTTCAAGCAGCCTATAGCAATTCATATCCTGAATATTAAACAATAAATTATACTGTTACCGAGGTTAGTGCTTTTGAACAAGATTTTCGTCTAGCTTAAACTATTCACTTATTGAAATATAAATAAAAATATCAGCACCTTTATCAAAGACTGATAAAACAAAAATTTAAGAAGTAGATTTTCACAGCCTTTGCAAGCGACAAAAAAATATCCCGAACAGGAATTAAAGTACCAAATATCGTTTAATATTTAAAAAGTTTACGAAAACAATCGCAGTCTAATAGAACAATCAACTCGCTATACCGAATGCTGACGCTGAATCAATTAACATGAACCAATTTGCTCGCAGCGCGACGATACAATTACGGCCATCAAGCGCCGCGCCGGCCGTGCTGTCCAATGGAGATAGAGCAACTTGTGGCAAATTTATTGTAGTTAATTGAATTGTTACGTAATAATTATAAGAATTTTGCTCACTAATTGGTGGCTCAATCTGGAAAGGAAACCTTACTGAAGGTTAAAGATCGCAGCTCATTAGAACCAGCTACCGGCCCACGACTGGGCGCCTCGTTGTCAATTAGTGAAGGTCAGGTAGCCGAAGGGTGAAGCTGCACGCTGCTCCATAGTTGACTCAGCGCTGTTAGCGAAAATTAAGTAGTGTGTTAGAGATCGTCACAAGTTTTTCTAGTGTTTTGTAAACAATGAATTGGCTGTAACACCTATCGCACGTAATGAAGAAGAAAATACGTTGCCAACTCGCAGACAGCGCATGGTCCACTTAGGAGTAGCGTGTTAACAACCTGCGGCCAGCACAAGGCAAGCGTGCATGCAACTGGTGGTCACCAAGTTGTCCACCAGTCACCCGCGCGCAGATAGCTTGCGTGCTACGCGATCCGGGTACGGTACGGAGTTTATGTAGTGACTGTGTGCCCATAGAAATCCATATAAATTATAAGAACCACACGAGTTGAGGCGGTGCTGGTCGGATGCCGGGTGGGTCTAGGCTGTGATCTTAAATAATTGAAATAACACCAAGCACCTTTTGGTGGTTTTGTTTCTATTGGGCAGTAAGGTCATAGGGCGGGTAAGAGATGGATGGCGGAGGGGACATATATATTTCTAAAACTTTAACTATCTTAACAACTGTAGGCCATCAATTCTGTAAAATAAAATCTGACTTCCGATTTCAATAACTGCCATTTTAGACATTATAATTATATGATTATGCATTACGCTATTACACGGCAAAATGTCGCAATTGAGGGATTGCATCTTAAAAAATATCTATGTTGGACTTAAGTATTTTCCTACAGATGACAAAAGAAACCATCGGCTGATTAGTTGGGCTTAAAAATAGGAGGGACATCAAAAATTATCTTTGATGTCTGTTTAATCGTTAGTTGTGTAACGGCTCCCTGACCATAATATACATAATTATATTATTTATATATTATTATTTTATTATCCAAAATCACTTTTTATTCCAATCATAGTTGCATCAATGCATTTCTAAATTGTTTTGTTAATAAGTATTGGCGTATCTACACTGTTGCATAGCGATATTTGATCACCTGTCTCTGTGATGGAGAAAGAATATACTTAAAACTACCGCCTAATAGCATAGCATAATTATGAAAATCTGTTACATTGCTACCGCAAACAGGTACACTTTACTGAGACGTTTTAAAAGCTTTTTATTATTTATATATTATCATAATATTGTCACAAACGCTCTCGAATCAGAACCGCGAATGTGCTAGAGATCGAATGTGCCAGAGCACCGCGGGTCGCGATAGAGGTCGAGTAATGCGGCTCATTCTAAAATGCTTTTCTTAATTTTTTTGTTAATAAGTATTGGCGTATTATCTATACTGTTGCAAGGCGATACTTGACCACAGTGACCACCTGTCTCTGAGATGGAGAAAGAATTTACTTAAAACTAGGGCATGGTAGGCATAATTACGAAAATTTGCTGCAATGCTACCGCAAACAGGTACACTTTACTGGGACGATTTGAAAGCATTTTGATTATTATTTTATTTCCATGTAACAGCTACATAGATTTTTATGTATGCGACCAATCGTTTCGCAAATTACACGACCAATGAAACGAGTTGCGGTGGTTATTTTAACAGTCAACAGTACATCACGTTACCAGACCACATAGTGTCAAATTACTTCAATCAATTGTAAACTCTAAATAGAAAGACCTGAAAGTTGAATATCAATGGATAGTAACAAAATTTGAATAACCTAGAGTGCGGCTATATATAAATTGATGTCAGTACAGTAAGTACACTTGTACTTGGAAAATCAATCTTATAACTACATAATAATGATGATGTCGATCTAAAAATTTGTATAAGCCTATATGCAGTCTACAGTAAAATGCTTAAGCCTAAACCTAACAAGAAAATCTTTATAATATTACACTTAAGATCGTTGCATCACCGAAATTGGTTTAGGTTTTTGGTTTAAGAAAATGCTTAAGTCCATACCTACAAAATATGGCTTTGATTCGTAATTCTTATATTTATATATATATAAAAGACATTATATATATAGATAGGTCCGATAAATGACTCCACCTCTCTCGACACTTTGAATTCACCTACCATGAATCAATTTGCTCATAGCCCGGTAGTATGGTAAAGCAATTAAAATCTAGGGTCTACTCTGAATCGCGTATGGATGATTTCCAAATTCCAAACAAAATTTTGTGCAGGTGAAGCCAGCACAAAAAGTGGAAATCGAAAATCTGAAAATGAAAATGCATTCTTATTTTATTTTCGTTTTAGAGGCAGTAGCCATTTTGTGTTGAAGCTTTCCCAACATTAGTTAACGAGCGATCAGAGTTGTACATCAACTTTGGTTCCCTAAACCGCTTATGTAACGTCAATTGAACGGGTATGTGTGTATATAGATATCACAGTCTTTCGTAAAGTGCAATTCGTCTGGAACGAACACGAAATAAAAACATGCTCTTTATTCAAACTCAGATAAATATTTCCCTTAAAAAGTCGATAAATAATATACTACACCTACAGCAGATCACTAATGGGCGATATGTTTGGGTAAACAATATAATAATACAGCATAGTGTCAAAATAAGACATTAAATTTAATTAATGCCTGTGGGGCCTTACTTACTCCTTAAATACCTAATACCTGATCAACATTACGCGTTAAAATAAAATTCGCCTGTGCAAGGCCAGGACGGATCTCTAATATGTTAAAAATCACAGTTAGACTGAAGCTATGTTTTGATTTTATTATATATTTTCAGTTGTACATTTACTTCAAAGCAAAAAAATAAAAGGTTTGCAATTAAAATATGATCATTTATCTAAAAGCTTTAGTATCGATTACGGTTTCACTTAATAAAGGGGTTGAGCTGCCACAATACACTCAGCACCATCAGTTCCTATCCTTTCAGTGTAAGTTTTACTATCATAAACAAATTCACTAAAGGACACAACCAAATGTTCAGTAAATTCTAGTCGTCTTCCAATTTTTGCTGTAGGTTCAGCCGTCCATATTGCCTGACATATTTTTGGATATGCCGTGATAGCAGATCTCGATTTCATGCTCGAATACTTGGGCCCCAAATCTTCAACAGTTATTTCGGCGACAGGCCCGTTTTTTAATTCTTTTGCTAGCTCGATCGAAAACTTGCAGAGGAATTCCCCTAACCTTTGTTTTCTGTGCTCTCGAAGAGTGGCCAAAAACATTATTTCTAAACTGCAGTCTACTCCATACCTGAAAAAGTTAAGTGATAGCCTCTTAAATTCAGCGGCTGTTTAGCAAGCATCGCAATTTAATTGCATATATCAAGTCCCGCACATAGACATATAAAAATGAACTAATTGAATGAACAGTGGTAGTTTGTGTTGTTACTGGTGTATGCAACAAAGAGAAAAGATAAAAATCTTTATGATTACCTGTGGTGCACCACAGTGCGTGAGTACTTAGGGACCTCAAACCTAATAATGCAAGTCTCCTAATAACTATGAGGTGTAGAGAGCATTTAGAATTCATAAAAGTATCCAAAATGCAAAGGATTTTTGAGAAGGTTTTCACCAAAATACGAACTTTATTTATTTACTTTTTACTGTATAGCTCTATTGAATTAATCCCACCATTAACATGATCATTGAGGATTGGCTGTCGCTTTTTCGAAAGTTACCAGCGCTACAACTGACAGAATTTTATTATCATAAGCTTTTATTCTTCGTTTTCTGTAACAATATGTTTGTCAAAAAATATGTAAAAGAATTAGAGGTCTCTTACTTTTGAAACAGATTGCATCTTCCATCAACATTTGCCATAAACTGGATAAGAGACTTGGCAGACTCCTGCGAGCAGCGTTCTTCCGCGAATACTTCGAAAAATGGTTTCTCAGAAGAATCGGATGCTGCAACCTGAAATTATCTAAAGTTAAATATTGGCTACATATGAATGCAGTTTTATAAGTGTCCAAATATGCCAGACTCATTAATAATATTTTGATAACATGACTCTTTTTTAGGATTTCTTTTCTTGTATCGTAAGATTTTGAACATAGGAAAGGACAGTTACTTGGATTTCAATAAATGTGCTTTGCCTATATTCAACGTTATTTTTCTATTCCATTTAGATGGGTATATAATTTTGTAGTATCAGAGAAGCAATTTTGTAGTATCAAGAACCGGCAAGAAACTTAGCAAGGGCTATATTTTTCTCCTTATATTATATACAGAGTCGTCAAATTGAAAAATGACTTCAATATTAATTCACTCTTGAAGTCACTTTCCATTACGTTTGTAACTTAATGTTTCCAAAGTGATGATGTTTGCTTACTCAAAATTCACTTATCACTCCATGTTTAAGTTGACATCTCCACGTCACGACGTTGTTATGGAGGAACGATGCGGTAACGTTGCATGGTGCGTTGACATAAAGTACAAATCTGGTCGTAAATATGCACGTTTTACGAATTTACGTTATGTCAATGCACCATGCTATGTTGCCGCGCCGTTCTACGTTGACGACGTCGTGACGTGATGTGGACAGGCAGTACGTGATATCGAGATCGGTTTGCGATTATTATTGTTTAGCTATAATAGCAATCGCAATGGCTAGGTTTCGAATGAGTTGCCAAAAAAGTGTTAATTTGAACTCCTTTGTGCTTTTTTTTTAATCTTTATTAAGCCATACACCTTAGAGGTTAAGCCGGTCCTTTAAGCGTAATGGTCGACTTATTATTAACTATATTCTGCTTTTTTAATACCTGTATTTTGTTGAATGAAGCTGCAACAACGTCGCCGCTGTCTACTACGACGGCCACTAAAGATGCGCCATCAAGAGCTGCATCTGCACATAATTCCAACAGCTCTTCGGCCGCTAAGGGGTTTTTGTTAACCCCTGCTCCAATACATACTGCTTCATCTTGGCAGAATGACTCCCTTATCACCTGTTCCAAAATAAAAATATTTACTTGTTATCTTTAAAATAACAGGATCTTTCTTCATCTTTCAGGTAGATCATCAAAAAGCACTGGACACATATTTTTTCTATTTTAACACAATAAAAACATTACAGAGATATATTGATTTGATGTTTTGCATGACGGCACGTCGTGGTAATATTTTTACTCAGCGTCGTAACGTCAGGAGCCTTAACAAAAGAAAAAGCAAGCGTCCATTAACTTTTGAAAATCTAACTGAAGGACTAAATGAAATTGAGTTTAATGTACCCCGTCATTACCCCTATTAAAATCTGGTCACACTGGGCGCGAGATCATAATAGCATAATGTAGCATGGCATGTTGCTCAACTTCATAGCATGAGGTAAGCAAATTCAATCCAGTATAGCGTGTTGTCGACTTGTCCTCAGTAAATATATGGTGCGCGATACTCTTCTGCCATAAGCTATAATCAAATAATTTATAGCATAGCTCATAGCCTGAACTCACCTTAATATTATTTGAATATTTTATTTTATTAGGTACTTACTTGTAGTGCCCCCGGCACAGTAGAAGCAGACAATGATTCTATCCTGTATTTCCCTGAAAATATTATGTAGTTTAGTTAATTAAGCAAAATAATTTTAGAAAAACAAATCTTAGCAACTTCAAACTTTAAAAGTTAAAATACGTGTTAAGATAGCTAAAAAATGCATAAATGAAAATATAAGTAACAAAATTTTCTTTACATTTATACATAAATCAATCTTTTTAATATAGAACTATAATGATTATTATTAATAATATTTGGATTTAAATCTTTAAATTGGAGGAGCTTGATGGTGCAGGTGGTTATTGGATGGGTGACCAAAACATTCCTATTTTGTTGACCTAACAGTTTATAATGAGTTCACGACAGAAGTCATTGAACCTTTTGAAACGAAAGATAGGTTCAATTAGTTGACACAATATTGCCTATCAACTTTGGTACCGCACACACTTTAAGCCAATTTTGTAGCATTGAAGTAAACAATAAGATAGAAGACAAAAAGCACTTAGGTATTTATTTTAATCAGAAACAGATCTTGAAATAACTAAACCAAGTCAATGTCATTGGTAATTAACTTGAAATGCATTGATCAGTGGCAAGTGAATGATAATAAAATAATAAACTATGATACTAGAGAAGTGATAGTGATAAAATTACAAACTATTTCTTACCATCTTTAGTGACGAACCATTCCATTATTGTTTGTTTATAACTTTGCACAATTACTGTTTACTTAACACTTAAAACTTTTTTTGCTAACACACATGCGCCTGCGGCGGCTAAACTTGTCACACTGGCCTGGTCGCCAGCCGGTATTGAAGCGTGTAAATATTTCTGTTAGTATCTGGTTAGTGATTAGATAAGTAACCTTAACATTGTTGGCTTTTTTTTGTTGCTCTCACCAAATATTCTGGTAACCAAAAAAGGTTTATGACTGTATTTAAACATGACTTCTTTTTTTTTACTTACCTCATTTATCGTTAGAACTGACTATGATAAAATTTGTAGTAATTCTTTCAAAGAGGAAATAATTGTATATTTGCAAAGAATGAAATCCAACACTTCTAGAAAGTTAAAATATTTTAAGTAACTTAAGCTAGATTTTGTTGTTTAAAATACATTTCACTCGTTTAAAACCTTCGATGATTTCATTTAGTAATTTATTTTTGAACACAGCTCAGTTAATATATATATAAGCTTTTTCCACTCATAAATCACAGTCTTGATGTTCACGTATCGAGTTAGTGCAAGAAATATATTCTGCAAAAACTACGTTTCAAACATGTTTAAACTGTCATACCTATGTTTTGCCAAACTCCAAGGGATACCAAGTTATATTTGTAGAAAAGTAAGCGATATTTTATAAAAAATAGGATAATGTATCTCCTTCCTTACTTATCTATAAAAAAAAAGTAGTAGAGTTAGGCGATCCACACACTGCACCGCATCACTGTATCACGCAGCGTAGCGCGGGAGTGCGTGTTCTACGTTGCTTGAAAGTATTTTTCTTTGCATTGAAATACGCGTAGTGCAACACACAGAAAACAGATTCAAGCGTGGTTTTGCAGTTCACACGCATAGATACACAGTAACACGTTTGTACGTCGAAATCTGCATGACGTATGACGCAGATGTGCACTCCAGCAAAGAACCGGGTTTGGCTCCGTCGCCACGCACCTCGCAGCGTAGTGCGGGGCAGTGCGAGAATCACCTTAATGTTTTAGTTTCGGGATCACGTCAATGGCAGAACTATATAAGTAGCTGTGATTGCTCCTTAATACCTAAAGGTGTAAAAAATACAGTTTCAAATAATATTTAATTATGACTTCGGAATTTGAAGTATTTTTAAACACTTCACTTTTAATACCACCCCATATACAACTAAATTTATAAAATATTTTATATTATTTATGTAAAAAGTAAACAGTACCCCTAGCACGAACCAATATCGAATTCGAATAGTTTGCAAACCGAAATGTCAATGTCAAATTTTGTCGCTTAAATAACAAATCAAATACCGTAGTTGAATTACTCAATTATGTATTTGTAATAATAGTAATATTTTACGGCTCCTATTTCACCAAACGACTGTCAACGGTTAAATTATTCCATCGTAAATACTAACAAATCATATATTTTTTCTCTTAAAATATACTATTTGTCACCGGCAGGGAAGTCGCCGGAGGGTGTCTAGTGCCAATTTCCGTTAATAACTTCTGAGGAATTTTCGTTAGGAAATAGCAATAAAACGACATTTTTCCTAAATAACTTAATCAAAATGTACAGGTAGCTGAAAAAAATTTTAGGTGACTAAAATGATAAAGACGTGAATTAAAGTAAATGCTTCACATTGTGATGCATCGTCTATCGCAAAAATAGTGACACCATCAACTCTTCCATCTAATATGATAATTCTATCCATTACCCCAGTAAGGGATACACGAGCCTTAAAATGCTTACTTTAGGGTTAGTCTAATTAGTGTGAGCGAAAGAAATATTTATTTTTCTAGACGGACACTACTTAGTTAAATAATATGAGCAACCTGTCCATGTCTCTCAAAGGTAAAATTACTCAGAAAGACAATAAATATCAAATGCTTATATTTTATTGCGAAATGACATATAAGGACACGTACTTTTAATACTTTGAAAGTAACCAGTCCATTACTAAGTGAGTGACATACGCCCACGGACAATATCACTGCTTTTAGTGTAAGAGGACGTGATTCCATTTGAACAAACGATTACAAAGAATACTTATCTGCAAAACTTTCCGTCCGCCCCCGGGCTGCTTCCATAATACAATGGAAAATGTTTCTTTTTAATATTTGCTGTAAACGAATATAATAAAAAATATTGCATAACCTGGTTGTAAAATCCTGTATTAAATTAATAAACAGTGGTCGTCTATTGGTTGAATGTCAACCTAGCTAAATTGAAAAATTAATGAGATCAAGAAGTTATACTTCTATAACGCATGGTAGTGTGGGTAACATAGTTTTTATTTTAATTACTATTTCTAATAAGTATATCATTACAAAACAATTAGGTTTCTGCATTCCTTCGCCATATCAAATTTAGTTTAGCAAGAAATCCCATCCGCAAAATATCCTTAAGAAAATGTGTACATATTTTAAAGGAATATCTTTAAATAAGATTCAATAAAGTCATAACGGTCAGTTCAGACAATCCTCATATTCAGTTGTATTATACTTAGAAGAGAAATGAAAACACACACAGTGGATAAGCTACAAGATATTTTATATAATATATGAGAGTTATAAAATAAACACACAAGTCAAACAGACATACAGACTGACGTATAAAAAATATAAAAAAAACACGTCAAAAAAGGCGCCAGGGTGTTAATATTAAAAAGTTATAAAAAAAGTTTGGCTGAACACCTCCCCGTAATATGAACACCTGTATATGTACGTAAACTATATACAAGAACAACTCAAAAACACAAACTCATTTAAAAAGGAAAAACAAACACACTATTTACACATCTTAACACTAACATCCGAAAATAAATTAAACTAGCCTAATGCCCCTACTATATACAATTTACTACGCTAAACCTAAACTATTTACACATTTCTCGTGCTTTATGTTAGGCAAGCCCTTAGTAAGGACATCGGCGACCATACTGCCAGTGGAAATATATTTAATAATAATGTTATGACTGGCTATGGAATTTCGAATGAAATGATGCCGGATGTCAATATGTTTAGTGCGTGAGTGATGATTATGGTTTTTGATGAGTTGTATGGCACTTTGATTGTCGCTGTAAAGTGTTATTGGGTAGTCTTAGATTGAATACATCTCGCACCAGAAACCTTAAATATATGGCCTCCTTAGTGGCTTCACCAAGGGCCATATATTCTGCTTCAGTGGTGGAGAGTGCGACTATGCGTTGTTTGCGTGACTCCCAGGATATGGCAGAGCCACTTGAAGTAAAGACATACCCCGTGTATGACCTGCAGTCTATTAAATTAGAGCCATAGTCGGCGTCAGCGTAGCCGACTATGTTGTCGCTACCTTTTGTGTAAAGAAGCTTTTTCTGCTTCGTAGACTTAAGATACCTGAGCACCCGTTTAGCAGCTCTCCAGTGTACCTCCCCGTAATGTGCATTGAATTGACTCAGACCGACACAGCATGTGCTATCAGGTCTTGAGCCAATGGAGATGTACATTAAAGAACCGATGAGCTGCTGATACGGTAAGTCGGGTTGCTCATCATCTTTCTCAGGTAGTATCAATTTAAGTCCAGGCTCTAAAGGAGTTGTTATAGGTATCGCGTCTTGTAAATTAAATTTCTCAACCAATTTTTCTATATATTTGGTTTGGTCGAGACCAATGCTGCCATCAGTACTTTTAACTCGCATGCCCAAACAATCTTTAACGGATCCTAAATCTTTAATAGAAAAAGTTTGTTTTAAGCCTGTTTTAAATGAATTGGCCATGACGTCACAATTGCTAAAAACAAAAAAATCGTCCACGAAGACGGTGACTATAAGAAGTTTGTCGTTGTGTCGTCTGTAATAAACACAGTGCTCGGACTCGGCTCGAGTCAGTGACAGTTTTGCCATGGCTTCGCAGACTTTAATGTTCCATTGTCTGGGTGCTTGCTTGAGTCCGTACAGAGACTTTTTCAGAAGGCAGACTTTGTTGCCATCGGTAAAGAAACCTTCAGGTTGCTCCATGTAGATCTCTTCTTCTATATCGTCGTTAAGGAACGCTGTTTCAACGTCCAGATGTTCGACACTAAGACTCAACTTAGCAGCGAAAGCTAGAAGAAGTCTAATGGATGACAGCCGAGCAACAGGAGAAAATGTTTCTCCGTAGTCAACGCCATAGACTTGTGTGAAGCCTTTAGCAACAAGTCTGGCTTTATATTTGACAATATCCCCATTAGTGTTTTTCTTAATTTTGTAAACCCACTTACATTTGACAGGTTTCCTATCAGTGGGCCTGTCAACTAAAACCCAGGTGCCATGCTTGATCAAAGACTGCATAGCATTCAGCCAGTCCTCCTTGTGTATGTCATAAGGATCTGTTAAGCCTCAACTTAATACAATACAAATGTATGGACATAGTTTTGATAACAAAGAACCGTTCATACGTGTCAACGTTGAGTCATTATAACTAAGAACCGTCTGGGGAAGTCGCCTCTGCCTTACAGAAGTCCAAGTCTATTTTTTTCTGCAAGTTGTGTCTATTTGTTTCTGTGAGTTTTGATACAGAATTAATATTAATAAAATCTCGATGGCGCAGGTGGCTAGCGCGTTCGGCTGCGATCGTTGAAGTTAAGCAACTTTCGCAATGGTTGGTCATTGGATGGGTGACCAAAATTCTTCTATCTCGAGTTCCTCCGGGCTTAAGAAGGCACATTAAGCCGTTGGTCCCGGCTGCATCTGCAATCGTTAGTACCCGCCTATCCGCATTGGGCCCGCGTGGTGGGTCATCGCCCAATCTTCCTATTCCATCCATAGGGAAGGCCTGTGCTCCAGCAGTGGGGACATTAATAGGCTGATGATGATGATGGATGATTAAGAAATTAAAGAATCAAACAGCAATAGGGCCGTTTTACGGGCAGTTTTGTTCGTAGCCGTGTAATGCACAAGGTGCGAAAGGTATCGCCAGCGTGATGGCCGCTCACCCTCTAGATGGCTTATTGTACCTATTTACCACCTTTTTATATTTAAACGGGTGGGTTACAAAGGTGGTTCTCATGTTTGAAAAGAAAAGGAAGCAATAAGCTTTAGAGTAGAGAGCGAGTTACATGT